TAAAAATAGTTGCCAAGTGTTAAAGCGATGGTTTTTCAAGTGATTGGATGCAATAAATATTAAAGGCAAGTGACCCAACAGAGAAGATGGTTGAATTTCATTGTAAAATTAACTTTGATTATGTAGAGTATATTTCCCAGTGGCCATATCAATATTTTAAGTAACACAATAATGGGATTCTGGATAAATATTCTTTTCATCAATATGTACTTTTAAAACAGTATTGAATGGCTGGGGGTCATATGCCTTCCATTGTCTAGGAAGACGACAGAGTTTCTACGAGATGGAAGCATTTGTCAAAAAAACCCAGGAGTTGTATGCAAGCTGGAGACCAATGAGAGTCAGCAGTTGGTAGGAAGCTCCCAATTCTGTGGCAAAGACTGGGCATATCTCCAGACCTTGGGACATCCTGATGTGCCTGGTCACCTTGTTCCTGGGAAGCAACTGCTCCTATAGTTCCTGTGCCTGGGAACTAGACTGACAGTACCTAGAGCAGATGCTGCAGGAGCTTGCAGTTTTCCTAGTGCTTCAGGAATCAGGAATTCCATCAGGCTCAGCAAATCTACTCCTTCTCTTTCTGACATCTAGTTAGGATTTCTGCAGAGTAGGTCTTTCTACAGTGGGCCCAGCAGTTCAGTGTGGTACAGAATTTGGTACCAGTTGAGTTTCGTGTCTGTATAGCCAACCCTTATTAAAAGATGCTTTGTGTTTAAGACATTTAATTTTACTGTAGAGGACAGATTGCCTCATGACAGACCCCAGAGGAAGACAAAAGGAAATCAGGATCTTAGCTCTGATTTTGGTGGGGACCCTTGCTGGCTATGTGATCTGAGCATGATTTCTTTGTGTTTCACATTTTTTGTTTGTTTGTTTTTCCCATTACAAAATTAGGAGGTAAACTTATATGATCCAAGCTTAAAAAGGATTTCTAGATCTTCTTGATTGGGAATATATTAAGAGGATCTCACTATTTCCGGATGGCCAGCAGAGATTTAGGTCATTAAAAGGAAGGCCAGTGGCCATTTAGGCCATTCTCCCACCTCCCTTTCACCGCATCTACTCTCCAGGGTGGGAACTGCAGAGTGCTCTGTACTCCAATGGAGGGAACCCCAGAAATAGCATTTGGAACGAATGTTTTGTACCATGATTGAGAAGAATCACCTGCAGATGTGGGCCACTGTACCAAATGGTTGAAAATACAGGTGGTGCTCAACCCTCCCTGTTGCTCAACCCTCCATGATGAATCTCAAGTTTCTCAGAAAGTAAGAGCACCTTAAGTTGCTATCTTATCCTATCACAGAGGTTCTTAAAGTGTGATTCACATAGCCCTGAGGACCCCAAAACGCTTTTGGGGGTCTGAAAGGTGAAAAATATTTTCATAGTAATATTAAGACATAATTTGCTTTTTGCAGTGTGCTAACATTACTGCTGGCACTGAGCACAGGTCAAGGTAGTGGCCCTGAACTGTCAGCACTCAATGTTTCTTCACTGCCACTGACTCACAGTAGACAACAGAAAAGTTAGTTTCACACAAGAATGTCCCTGATGAAACAATAAAAATGATTAATTTTATTAAATCTCTACCTTTTAGTGCACATCTTTTTATTATTCTGTGTGACTAACTGGGAAATATGCAAAAGCACTTCTGCTGTATATGAAGTACTCTTATTGTCCCAAATGAAAGCACTTATGTGTTCTTTGAGGTGCAAGCTGGAATAGTTGCCTTTTTCTGTAATAAAACATAATTTTTACATGAAAGAACAAATGACAGACAAGTCATGGTTATTCAGACTTGGGAATGAGGCAGAAATTTTCTCAAAAATGAAGTGTGCCTGTCACTTCAAGGAAAACAGCTGATGGGTACTTTTTGCCAATGATAAAATTTAAGATTTCAATAAAAAATCAGAATCTTGGACAACCTGAATGCATTCTATGAATTTGATAGCCTTGCAACACCTAAACACTCTTCAGATGAGGGTTTTCATATTGTTTAATGAACGGTCTCGGCATTTGGATGATCTGTATAATTCAATAAACCAATAATTTCCAAATGAACAATCTATGATGTTATCAAATTCCATTCAAGGTGGAAGGTAAGCAATGCATTTTAGTGTAACCCAGTACAAATCCATTGACATAGTTTCATATTCCACAGTATAATTGGCCTTCAAAAATAATCATTTGTAGAGTTGGTTGTAGTATGTGGCATGGTATTAAAGATGATTTATATTTGTTTGGAAAGGCTATTAAAATACTCTTCCCATTTCCAGTTATGTATCTGTGTGAGGTGGAATTTTCTCCCTGTACTTCAACCAAAAACATACCACAATAGACTGAAAGCAGAAACAAAGGTGAATGAGAATCTGTGAGTCTTCTATTAAGCCAGTCATTTAAAAAACTGGCAGAAATGTGAAACAATGCTTTTTTACTAACTTTCTTTTGTTATGGACAGCATAGTAATTTTTATAAAATGTTTTACTTACGTCAATTTCTAATGAGTTTATTAATAATTTACTATATATTACTTTTTAAAACTAATTAATCAATATTTTAAAATTCGTTTCAATTTTTGATATGGTGAACACACATAAACAAAAATATGTTGAAGTTCTCAGTAATTTTTAAGCAGATAAAAGGGGTTCTGGGAATAAAATGCTGGAGAATCACTGTTGTAAGATCCCTGAAGAAAAAGTGGTGTTTTGGATGACTGATTAACAAAGGAAGAGGGGGATTTGGTGTCTTTCAGTTGACACTGGTGTGGGGAAGCTTCTCTGTGTTTGGTGACAGGACTGGTTATCAAGACAGGATCTGCAGCAACAAAAGGAAATTTACCTGCTACCTAAGACTGATAGAAATCATTTTGGGGAACAGAGATTTCAAGGTCCTGAGGTGACCTTCCCTGTTCTCTTCCAAGTGTCTCCAGTTCTCTGAATGTTCAAGTTCACGCCTTTCCCTCCAAGGAAAGGACAGTCCAGCCTACAGTCCCTGTTCAGTGCTGGCCATCTTGACTAGGTGAAGGCTAGACACTTGCTTCCCAGGACATAGTAAAGCCACTCTGAGCTCAGAAGTTGGTGCCTGGTCCTGGTCCTCATCCTGGCTGGCTTTTGTCCTGGAAGACTTCTCAGTCAGGTGGGGAAGAAAGGCTCCTGAAGAAATAACTGCAGTATGATATGATAAATGCTATTCTGTACATAGTGATGAAATTGTCCAACCAAAAATTAGGATACGATCTGACAGTATAACATAATATCTGATAGTGGAACAATCTGGGGAAACTAGAACTTGTGTCTGCTATATTTATTAAGAAACTTCCAGCAACTCCACTGAAATTCTCTGCAGATTTGTATTTCATTTGCCCCAAAGATCCAGAAACAATGGTTTTGTACCCCATCCCCCCACCAATTCTGGGAAATGATGGTGGCAGAATAGAAAAGGGCAAAAAAAAAAAATCTTAGAATCACAAAGGATGAGTAATGGCCCCCTAACATTTTATTTCCTCTGGTTAGTGGATAGAGGCCTGTAGGAAATTTTTTCCAACATACTTGTTCCAAGTGGTTTTCTCCTCCAGGCAGAGAGTCCAAGTTTGTTCACACAGGTCTCCCACACCAGCTGAGGCACATCAGGCTGAATCCCAGAGTCAGAAGATTGAACTAGGCTTCTAGGATCCCAAGCCTCGAATGTACGTGGGTAAAATTAAACAATAGGGCTCTTGATCTGCCAAGAAATGTTGGAGTCCCCCCTGGGTGGGCTGTTTGGGGACCAGGAAGGTTCTGGTCTGGCTTGGGTCTTCTGAAGTTCCAACCATGTGCCCCTTTTCTCCCTTTTCCTCTGGGGCTTGGCTCAAATTCCTCTTTTTAATCTCTTTCTGCCATTCCCACTGGGCCTTCCCAGCTGTGGTAACTCCAAAGTGAAATGCGCAGGAACAAAACAGACAAAGAGCAGAAAAAAACCTGCTCAGTGCCACACATGGACCTTCTGCCCCCCACAGCCAGAGAGAACGGGTAAGCTCAGGCCTAAAGACAACCCAAACTGAAGGCAAGACAAAGAGCCTGGCAAACCCTTGTTTGAGACTCGGACCCACCACTTACATTTGACTCTGGGCAAATCATGACATCTCTCTGGTCCCCAGTGAGCTTAACCACAAAACCAAGTTATTTTGAGAATTAAATGACATTACATATGTGAAAATGCTTGGTACATGGTAGGTTCACTACTCATAGTTAAAACGTTTTACTTCCTTCTGTGTGATGGTTTGATTAACATCCGGACTATTCTTTGAGTGGAATGAGAACCTACACGGAATCTTTTTTGATTCACTCTTATATCTCCAGAGTTTAACAGAGTGCCTGGCACATGTTATGGTTTTAAAATTTATTTACTTATTTATCTTGCAGTACTGGGCATCATGTTGGGCATTTTTTTTTTTTTGAGACAACTGTCTCAGAAACAGGGATAGGGAAGGTCCTGATTAAGGATCTACTCCTAACTAGCAATTTTGGGGTCTCCTGATTTCTCTCATGGATTGATATTGGCTATCTAGAGCATGATGTCATGAAGAAATTGAAAGGTGGCATCTGGAACCAGTAGGGAAGAGGCTGACAGATTGCCAGCCGTCACCTGCTTGAGGATGTTGCTGATGTTGATTTGTGGAGTCAAGAGCAAGTCACTTTACCAGCTGTTTTCGGCACAAAGGCCTGTTTGTAATTATGGATTATAATTGAAGACTGAGATTACCAAATGCCTGTCCTGAAGAGAAGTAGCATGACTATTAGAAAGAGTTTTTAAATCACAGATTAAAAACAGAACAATGCTATGCAAAGAAGCAAACAGCATATCACTACTCCATCTGCCTGTCTTAATGAATTTACTTACTTGAAATGCACGTTTCATGAATCAATTGATAACGGTGAGCAGAATTGACACATTTCAGCTTGTCTGTCCCACATTCAGAACTCTGACAACCTGTACTCCCTCAACCCACAAAGTAGCTCTCTACTTACGAGGGTAATCCTTTGGATGTGTCTTCTCAGACCAATTTCCATAGAATGTGAGTCTGTACTTGGCAGTTCCACAGGCACAGCAGTCTAAGATTGGCTTGTCAGTCACCCCATCAAATGTGGAATCTGAAACAGAAAAATCCCCGAGTTAGGAAGCCAAAAAGGTATTTCTATATGGCAGTGCCATCTTGATTTGTCTTATCTTTAACTTCTAAAAAAAGAAGATGAAGTACAGTTTTCATCGATTTGTAAGACTCAGGAACCAGGTCAGTACTTGGGCTTCAAAGGATTTTTGTAGACCTCTGAGAACGAAAACTAGATTTTGAAAAAAAAAAAAACATCAGAGCTTGTGTTTCAATAATTTTGAGGATCTCTCTGGGACCAATAGGGCAGAATCTTTGAGACAAAGGCGGGGTCTTGGAAAACTAGGGATAAAATGTACTCAGATATCCTTCCATCCCTCTTCTAATGGGATTTTCCTACCAAATTTTCAGAGGGATACACATGTGTGTTTTCTCCAAGAAATATTATCCAGGGCCAAAATGTCTAGACCTGAGGGAGAGGCTTTGAAGGACAGCAGTAAGAACAAGTAGAGAGACAGAAAGAACAGCTGAAAAAAAAGTTTTTTTTTTTTTTTTTTTTAATTGCCATGTAGTCACCTCACTTCTTATCATGCTTTCAGAGACTGTACTGGGAGGGGTGGGGGTTGGAAATATGTTCATAGGTTCAGGTTTACTTCTGAGTATAGAAGCAGCCAGGAAAAACTTCAGCTTCTCTCTCCACCCCCATTTTTTAGCTGTGAATAGCTGATAAGTAGGGAAGGAGAGATTACATGAATAAATTCAGTATTTCCGATTGTCAAACCCACATTCCTAACTTTGCCTTGTTGCTTTTAGTCTGTTCTGCTTCCTACAAGATGAAAACAATGACTACAGATGCAGCTTGCTGCAATAGCTTTTTCTTTAGTTTCCCTAGCAGTATTCACATAAGTCTTTTTTTTTTTTTTTGCAAGTTGGACATTTATTCTTTAATATTACACAAAGAACAGCAACAAAGAGCATAAAATAATTTTCAATGTCAGAAAGAGCATTTTGCAGATCTTCCTTTGGGAATTCACTGGGTTCACTGGGTTTGAACATGCAAAATAAGTGATGGTTGATGTGAATTCTAGGTTCTAGGATGGAGAAAAAAGTATGGGATGTGGTAATAATAACTGCCGTGCATTGATTCCCTGTATATGCTGATCCCTCTCCATACATTGTCTCATTTATCCTCATAATCTTAAGAGGTAAGTACTTTGGTTATCCCCATTTTACCACCTGGTAAACTGAGATGGATTAGGAAATGTACTCAAGATCACCCAGAGCTAGCGAGTAGTGCAGGCCCAGGTCTTTGGGGGTCCAGACCCCATTCCCTTAGTCTCTGTATTCTGTCATTCCAGGAAAGTCATCTGGATTTGTCTACATAAACAATGAGATTAAAAAAATTGGGGGTTGTTTCTGTTTAGCTTTTTCCAAATGAGGAACAGTGCATTTAAAAAATTACCTCCCTCTATAGCTTCAGGATTTCCAAACAACCCCCAAAATGAGGACTGCAAAAACTCAAAGTGGAAATAATTGACTACTTTTTGTACACTTAGGAAAGGCCAGAGCATTCTCAGCACCTAGGAGCAAGTACACGCACCTCCCCACCCCCCACCATATGTGCATGGAGCCTGGATCTAATTCCTGGGTGAACCACTTTGATCTTTCAGGGACAAACCCCATAGAATATAGTTCAGGAAAGGCAGCATAAACCAGTAACTCCTGAAGACTCTGTCTTCAAAGACTTTTTCATTCCCACTATGATCAACTATAGTGTAAAAAACCAAAACTAGCTTTGAGAAATGAATTCAGAACTAAGAGCTACATGCTGGGGTTTTGATTGTAGCAACCATCTATGGTTAAACAAGGCAGCAGTCATCTCTGGTGGACCTCCAATAAGGCCAGTTGGTAGCGTTACCTTATCAAAAGGGCTTTCAGATTTAGGTGCTAAAGTTAAAGAGATTTCCAAGGATTTAAAGAAATGCATTTATAATGAACCTTTTGGAATTCCAAAGGAAATTAAGCCTTCATCTAAAAATTAAATTTTGAGGTTTGAAAACGAGTCTTTCCTACTGAGGAAAAACCTACTGATAATGAACCAGGCTTTCAAAGGGTGGTGAGGAGGAGCCCCAGTCTGTTCCCTGCAGGACCACAGCAGGGCTGCCAGGTGCAGGTAACTTCAGGCAGGAGCAAGGCTGAATTTCCCTTCCTCCCCACCTCTACTCTTAATCCCTTGCCTTCTCTGCATTCTTTGTTCTTCTTTCCTTTTTCTTCTTTTCCCCCATCTCTGCTCATGTGCCGCTGTCTTCTGAGTTTCTCTTTATCCTTCCTCCCCTTGGTCTCTCTCCTTGTTTATGACATGGTGTCTGTGTGCATGTTTATTACAGGTCACCTTTTTGAATATTTTATGTTCCTCTCTTCTTAATTGTAAGTAACTTAATGTTTATGCTGCTTTTTTAAAAGCAACAATCTCTATTACTTTTTATCTGTATGGCACTTAATTCTTTCCCTATGGATTAATGGCTTCAATTGGGGGGAAAACAATGAATGACTCCAAGTTTCACGATCCCCTTTCTTGATAGATTTGATTTGACTCAACAAGGAAGCAAAGAATATACAAGACTTTAATGAAAAATCTGGTGATAATTAAGTGATAATACATATTTTAAAAATCCCTTTGCTCTGTGCTTGCATTTTATACACTTTCTTAAGGTGTGTTGACTGATTTCTTTGTTGGCTGATTTATTCCTGGGGCTGCTGACTCTGGGGATCATCTACAACTATATCTGATGAGTCTGTGGCCCAGGACCTTTGCCCCTACCTTTTTTTTTCCTTTGGTCTACTATGTTGCCACTGGCTAGTGGCCCTGTATAGAGATGCATGATTAGTCATTTTGATAAGCTCTCTATCTAGGGGAAACAACTAAATATTTGCTATGCCATTTTATTGGCTTTGTATCTATAGAACGTAAGCCCATTTACACCTTAGACAAAGGTTTTACACAACATCTGAATCGAGCCTTTGGAAAGTCCCTTTAGTTAATGATTCCTTTCAGTTACATGGAGATGGGATGTCAGCGAAGTGTCTCCTCAGAACCCTGGAATCCTGGGAATAAAGCTGTCCTCTGACAGACTAACAGAACTACATGCAAAGGAGCGATCAGCCACTTATGGGGGAAGACCAAGAGGTGGCCTATGAATGTGTGATACAGAACCTCCACAACTCCACCCCTCAGTTGGACTTCCCTTCATGGCCAGGGAATCAGTAATAGGATTCACTCAGGAACCACAAGCCTTAAGAGGTGAGAAAGCTCTCTGCTTGGAGAAAGGCCGAGTGACCCTTTGGTTAGTTAAGTATAAGAAGGGAAAGTCCTCAAAGCCATGTATGGTGGTGTCCCCTGGAAACTAGCAAGGAGCCCTAATGGCAAGGTCTGACCCTGAAATGGCAGGTAGGGCAGGGCACCCTCTGACTCCACAATCCTCCACATAGAACTTGGTTGTACTGCAGCTCATCTGTAGGGAGACAATGCATTGACCTGTCCAAGGGGATTCAAGCTACTGAAATAGGACGTATTTGCTTTGATGGGAGGGTGGTAGTTTAGGACACTTGTGTCAAACCTTTCCTCTACCTCTGTCTTTATGAGGTGAGGAGAGTCATTTAGACTGTTTCTCAGGCTCTTTAACTTTTCAATAGGAATAATATCATCATCTTTACCACATAGGGTTGCCGTGCAGATTACGTGATTAATGCCTATGATATTCTCAGAATAGTGCCTGGCATATAACAAGCACTCAGAAAATATTAGCTATTATTATTATTTCCCCAGAAGACCTTTATCAACCTTTCTTAGTAGCTTATGATTTGCTAGAGTTGGAAAAGATTATTTATTCTCCAAAGACCAATTGCTCCAAATGCAAATAAAAGTTCTGCAGAAATGAATAGAAATGAGATAGTTAAGCTGTATAATTATAGAACATCTTCTATTTTTATTTAGTTATCTAATGACTTCTAAACACATTCAGATGTTTAAGGTCTTATTTTTTCTTTTTTACAGTAGATTAATGAACAAACTTTTGGAATCTGCTAACTAAAGCTAACACTTATATAGACAGCATTTACTATGTGCCAAGGAGGCAAGGCACCACTTTACTTAGGTTGTCTTATTGCTAGGAAGGACAGAGACAGATTCAAACTCAGGCCTGATTTGAATCCAGGCCCCTGTTTTAACCTTCCCAGTCTTCTTAGACTCCATGAGCTTTGTCAGAATGTCTCAAAGGAGAGGGGGTTGATGAGCTTGCAAATCTAAGTCCCAGAATCTTGAATGTGATGTAATCACAAGACCAGTGGCTCCATGGCATCCCTGTACCCTGCTGGCCTTTCCTGAGGAAAATCCCCCATATTGTCCAAACGAGTTCCTTGGGGTGATTTTTTTTCCCCAGAGAACCGTTATAGACTTTTTAAAGGTACACAATTGCGCATTCCTTAATTAAGTCCTGTGAGTTATTCCAAGGAACCTCTCCAGAATAATCACTGTTTCACAAAAATAAGACGATGACACCAATACGAGGTACATTATCTCCTACCCAGGGAATCAAGCTGAGTAATTAGAGCTTAAGGCGGATCCAATTATCCACAGCACACAGCCAGATTAAAAATCGGAGCTTCGTGAGAAAGTAGAACCCACGGGGACTCAGAGAGCCCGATCGCCTTAACTCCTGCCGCAGGATGCCTGAACTGAAAGAGCCCCTTCTATTCATCTGCCCCTCCCCACCTGCAAAAACTTACCTTGTTCACAAAGTTTCTTGGTGAGAGAACCTTCATCTTGAAAATAAATGATGCGTTTCTGTACGATGCTGGCCCTGTGGGAAAGAGGACATAGCACGATGGTGAGGATGGTTGCCAGGGATCAGTCAGACATGGTCCTTGTTGGGCCACCAGGGCTCTGTGGCTCTGGGCTAGTCATTCCAGGTCTCTGTGCTTCCGTTTCTTTATACAGAAATTGGCACAATTTCAAATAACTATCTCTAAGTGTTGCTGTGAGAACCATCAGAGAAGGTATGTCAAGAGCTTAGCACATGCCTAGAAGCCACTCAATATTAGTTATTGAGTTGTTGTCAGTAATATTATTATAAGGCAAGAAAGGGAACTAACAGCATTTTCAATACCTTTCTCAATGGTTCGTTTTACTCTACTCTTCATATTAAACCACTGAGGCCATTTATAGATCAACCGAATTCAAATTATAGAAGCATGTCAAATCTCTTCCTGAAGGGGAAAAAAAAGGAACTTAAAAATATATTTTGATTTGTTCTGAAAATGTCATTCTATATCTTTCCTGAAAGTCTAGACAAAACTGTCTCCTACATTCTGAACAAAGACAACTTCAGCTGTGATCTCTCTCCCTCTTAAACATGTCAAACACAGGATCTTAGAATTTGGAAAGCATATTTTGAGGTTGAAAGACGACTTACTTTTGGTCAGCACATATTTTCTCTTTAATCTGAAATTGCAGACACTCTACTTCTTTAACTCACTCTGTTGTTTATTTTCAGCTGGCCTTGAAGAGGTTGAATCCTGAAACCCAGTGTTCCAGTAATTTGAAAGTCTACAACACTTAAAGTTGAGACGGTGCCAATAAATCTCGGGCCATTTCTATCGATTCTCTTCAGCAATGGTCCTCAATCAAAAGGTAATTTTCACTTCGATTCACCCTATTTAACAGATAAAGGCGTCCCTCAACTCCATTACAGCTGACCACACTGACTGAGTGCTGGACTCACAGGATCTGCCTTGGGTCACATGACCCCATGCCGAGGGAGGGGCTGTGTGCGTTGAAATCTGTGGAGGACCGAAGCGATTTCCCTGATGGTCTGGGCCAAGGCCAAGGCCAAGATGACTTTCCAAAGAAATGTCTCCTTGACATCCAGGCTTACACAAAAGAACACAATTCAAACCAGCCTACAGATGTCTTTTACGGTCTTTCTCCACCCAAGAGAGATGAGATGTTGAAATAAATGAATGAAATATGCTTCCTGTCTACACAAAGCTACTTTGATGATTATCCATTCTATGGACCATTAAGTGGGAAAGTTTCCTCAGACCAAGAGAATAATATTCACCCCCCACCAACACCACCACCAAGCCAAATAACAAAGCCTTTTGTTAGAGCACTGGTCATCTACCAGCCTTTCAGAGTATCCCTACCCTGTGCCCGGGAGGACCCCTGGAGGACAAGGAGCAGGCTTGGTGGGAAGTACCCCAGGCCCCACACTCTTGCTTCAACCAAAGGCGCCATCCTTATTTCAACCACAGTAGTTTCCTCTCCATTTGTCTTCCTGCTGTATTTATTTATTTATTTATCCCCCCCACCCTTTCTCTCTTTTTCTTTTTCAACATGTCATTGCTGCTTAGTGGCTGGCACTGGGGGAGGTATCAGGGACACTGTCTGAAACAAGACAGATAGGACTGCACTTCCCATTCTCAAAATTTACAGCACACTAGGGGAAAGCATCAAAGAACCAAACCTACAGCTAGTGATTTAACCCACCCGTGATGACGTGCCACACTGGAGACATTCACAAGTGCAGCAGAGCTTAGCACAGGGGTCTGGCCAAGCTGGGAAAGGATCCCCCCAGAAAGGACAGCCAGGCTCAGATTTGGAAGAGTAGGAGTTACTCAGGTAAGTAGGAGGGAGAAGAAAGGCAGAGGGCATCCTTTGGAAATCCTTGAGGTGGGAAGGGGCGTGGGCTCACGGGAAAACACACGAGTGGTAAGTCAAGGAGGTGATGTGAAATGAGCTGTGGAGGTGAGCAGGGCTGTGTCAGCCAGAGCCTGCAGGGAGATGGCATTTTACTCCACGTTTAATGAGATAGCTTTCTAGAGCATACCCTGAGGACCGAGATGATCAGATTTGCTCTTTTGAAAGGGCACTTGGGCCACCAAATAAAAATGAGTTGGAGCGTGGCTGCAAGCATTCAGAGATCCCATGCAAATCGAATTCTGTTTCACTTACGTTTTCTCGCTTGAAAGTTTTGGAAACCACTGATCTAGAGGATAACATGCAAACATCTGTCATTCGAGGCTCTTTACAATTCCCCCAAACAACCTCTGTCTTCATTTGTCACCACTTTGTGCCGAGCTTGCTGGGTCCCAGGATTTTGAGGCTCACTTTCTTGTCTGACCCTCTCTTCTGCTCTACCGGGCCCTTGTACAGCTGCTCTCTCTCCCAGAATCTCCCTTGCCAGCCTCCACTAGCATCTGTAATGGATCCTCTGAACTTTCTTCCTCCTGTTGTGAATGGGAGGACGATGGCAGTATCTATAATTTAAAGGCATGATCAGGAAAAGCAATTGCCACCACCTTTTGCAAAATAAGATTGTAAAGATTTGGGGGGACCAGAGATAGAAAACTTGTATTTCCTCTAAAATGTCTCAACTGCCTCACCCCTCAAGGTTTTATAAAATCTAAGGTAGACAATCTCTCTTTTTAATAATCACTGTCATTTTTGAGCCCCTGTTATGTGCAGTTTATACTATGGAAACACCCCCCACCCCCACACACACACCCATATATATATGTATCTCCTCAAATTTTTCATCCGAAATGCTTGGGCTGGATATGCTTCTGAATTCAAAATTCTTTAGATGTTAGAAAATTAAGATGGCACACATCCCATTGATGCCCCCTCCGTAAGCAAACAGCAATATTTAGCAGCAAAATCTTAGATGATTCATACTGAGGGTAAATAAACCCCATAAATGGCTTCATATCAGTTAGGTAAGGTTGGGCAATATTACCAAAATGCTCTGGTTTTCAGTGGGATTTAGATAAAATTCTGTGGCTATTCCACCCTTGTCTTCCAGGTGAGTATGAGGGAGGTACAGGGAGGTTCAGTAACTTGTCCAGGTTTGGAAGTTTCCCCTGTCTACCTGCAAAATCTGTGATCTGTCTTATTCTCACATGGGTTGGAAGGAGTTGATAACATATATACAAAGGACAATTACTCTGAGGCTTTATAGTCAATGTCACCCCACACTGAGTTTCTTTGGATTGATTTAAGCCTCTCGTGGAGCACATTGTGGAGGGCCAGGACTGTGGTGGGTCTCCTCAGAACCTGAATCGTGATCTCCTGAACATTCTATGCAAAGGCTGAGCTTGGCCAGCCCCTTTTATCATGCCTTTTGGGTTTCAAACCCTGTGTGGATCAAATGGGGAAACCAGTCTTCTGTCTCTCCTGTGATCTCTGTGCAATGCCTTTGGAGTGCTCATTCCAGGCACTCGCCACACCCAGCTCCACGCTACCATACTTTCCTCCCAGGCCTTTACCTACCAGACACACACACACACACACACACACACACATATATACACATACACACACATATAGACACACACTTCAGTTACCTAATGCATACCCAAGGAAGATCTTTCTTCCTTGAGGTTGACCCTGTGACAGGTGTCCTTCCAATGACAGCCAGACCCTCTGGGCTTCTCTGAGCACAACACTTATTAACAATAACTACTTAGTATTCTGTCTCCTGTGCTAGATTCTAAGGGTGACGGTGTCATTCTAATACTGGGATTCAAGGAGGAGGAAGAGGGCTTGTGAAGAAGGAGAGCATTTGTGGCAGTAGGACATGATGGTAGTCATTTAGTGGGTAATTAGGTGTAGGGACCTGTAACTCAGGGGAGGGCTGAGGGGCCTCCACTAGCATCTGTAATGGATCCTCTGAACTTTCTTCCTCAGGGCCAAGGTGAGAGTTGAAGGATTTGGAGTGGCTGATGTCACCAGGGAAGGTGTGTAGAGTGAAATACAGGGTCCAGTTGAGCCTAGAATGTCGGGGAGGTTTGCCATTCACCTTCAGACATGCTAGCGGAGAACAAGACTTTGGAACACTTCATGGTAGAAGATGCTTCTCTTTATTCTTTGTTTGGTCACCTCCTGAGAGAATTTTGCATTCTGAGAAAATGCATTTTCCTTTGAGTTTATTCCCATTAAACGTATAAAACTCAGCTGAGACTTATAAATCATACTACAGTTCAGGAAAATAATAGTTTTATAAGGCAAGAAAGCTGTTAGTAAGAATTCCCTTAGCATTTCAAAATGACAAATCTTCTCCCATTCCGTGTTGCAGTTTGGCAGTCCTTTTGCATAGCATTTATGTGCTGAATGCTCTCTTATCATGAGAGAACATGGAAGGAAATCTAAATTAAAGTTCTCAGTATGTGAGCTTCTCAAACTTCAGAATATTGAGGTTCTAAGTAACTCACTAATCATCTCAAAAGTTTTCTTTTAAAAATAAAGTGGATATTTCCAAAAGTATCATCCTAAATCTTTAAATTGCTTGATGGGCGCTTTTCTGACTAATGTTGTTTTTCCTTGGGGAATTTGCCTATTGTGGTAGAGTTAAAATTTGCTAAGTTGTGGGTTTCCTGTCTAGTGTTAAAAAGGGTGGAGAGGGGAGATCTCAGACACTGAAGTACTTGGGAGAGATCAGACCATGAAATAACTTAAAAAATATGCCTGGCTCCTCAGTGGCTGGTTTATCACCATGCAAAGATGATTTGCAGAAGGTCCAACTGCAGCATGTTGAACTTAGTAGCAATTCGGTATATGGTAGCTGTTATAGTTTTGGTTGTGAAATCACCAGCCCTTGATGAAGTTCCTGGCACATAATAAGTGCTTAATAAAAGGTGGCTATCATGACTGATGTCAGGTCTGTCTCCTTCACTTAGGGAGGAAGGAATGAGGGTGCTACCTTGGCCAGCTGCTTCAGACACAGATAATAAATGAACCCTGGTTTTGTGGTCTCCAGACTACTTTTTGCCAACCTTCTTCCCAATTCCAGTAAATTCTCTA